TCGTCATCGAAGCTCTGCTCCTGTTGGAGTTGATGGTCTTTTCCCTAAAGTGGTTTGGACCAGTCCAGTTTAATGGATCCAGTTTAATGGATCCAGTTTGCAGCTGATCTTATTTGTGTAAAGTTTGCAACTAGGGCTGGAACAATAAATCAGATTAATCGATTATTGAAATAATTGTCAAAAAACTTTTCTGTCTGTCAATCTGCTCTATTATCCAGAACTCAAGTTCACCTGATTTGATTCCAGTAAACGTTTTCATTAAGGAACCTTTTGTTATCCAATTATTAATCGACTAATTGAAAAAAAAAATCAACTGATTAATTGATTTGCAAAATAATCTTTAATTGCAGCCCTAGTTTGCAGTTTGCACCCCTCCACCATCATATATATTCATTGGTTTTGATGCATTTGCAGCAGGGAAGAGAAATCCATCAGTTGAAAGCTTCCAATAAAGCTGCTGCCGTGTCTTACAGGACGGAGATTTCTCAGTACATCGACATCCCCCGTAACTTCACGCTGACCCGAGACTCCGTCAGAGTCGGACAGCTGATGCACTTCGACTACTCCAGCCACAAGTACGTCTACTCCATTGGCGAGAACTTCCGATCGCTCCTCCCAGAGGTCTCCCCCATCCTAAACAAGCAGTACAACGTCTGCGCCGTGGTGGGAAACAGCGGCATCCTCACCGGCTCGCGCTGCGGCGCCCAGATAGAGAAATATGACTTTGTTTTCCGATGCAACTTTGCTCCAACAGAGATTTTTAAGAAGGACGTTGGGCGTCGGACCAACATGACAACCTTTAACCCCAGCATCCTGGAGAAATACTACAACAACCTGCTGACTGTTCAGGACAGGAACAACTTCTTCCTGAGCCTGAAGAAGCTGGACAGAGCCATCCTCTGGATCCCAGCGTTTTTCTTCCATACATCAGCCACGGTGACCAGGACGCTGGTCGACTTCTTTGTGGAACATCGGGGCCAGCTGAAGGTCCAGTTGGCTTGGCCTGGAAACATCATGCAATACATCAACAAGTAAGCAGAAAAAACAGTGACACACCACTGGGTTCTTCCAAAAAAACGCTAAAAATCAATCCTCTGGACTTTGTTTCCAAGTCTGAAGACG